CCGATCAGAATTTTGGGTACACTTGCACACATGTCCAGCTTATTTCTCAAGCCACCAAGGCCAGGAAATCGATTGGCCATATGGGATCAAGCTCCCTTAACTACTGAGCTATGGAACTGGTCTGTAAATAATCCGTTTCTATAAATGCTTCTTGAACTGTTTGAAGACTATAAAGTTCAGTGATATAGCATGCAAAAGTCAAGGTCAGTAATGATGTTATTCAAGTCTTCTGTATCTTTATTACTGTTAATTTGTCTTCTGAAAGCTGTAGATCACCATACCCATGTAGCGATTTGGCCAAATTATTTCTATTTTTGCTTTATTTATTTTAACAGCTAAATAATTTGAACAGAGTCAAAGAACATATCTTAAAGCATGGTAGTTTGTCAAAGAGGATTTTAAAAATTACCTTTATCTTCCATTACGATTTTATCACACTGAACATCTTTATTCTTTGGTGCTCCATTAAAAGTCTGCATCATCCTTTCAACATATAAGTCATTACCTAATCTATTTCTACAAAGGCTTTCATAATTCTTGTTTCTCTTGCTGTAAAAAAATAACATATATCCAGTTTGTTAAAAATTCATTACCACCACATATATCATCTCTTTATATTATCTGTTTCCTTAAAATTACTCTCATTAATATGGATTGCAACCCAAAGTTAAGAATTCAGAATAGCCCTTAGGAAAACATTACATTAAATGACCTCTGAAGGATGCTTTTATATTGTATCTCCCAATACTCCTACTACTTTTCATACCCACTAATTATGAACTCACACTATTAATTCACATTTAATTTGTGAATTTTGCTATAGACATTTAAGGCTATAAATTTCCACAGTATGTTAATATTGTGGCATCTTTTAAGTAGGTCTTCTTTCATAATTGTTTATTTCCAAATGTTTTTTTAAATTTCCAGTATGAGTTTTTCTATGATCTATAAGGAACTTAAAAATGTGCTTTTTAATATGTATGTAAATATGTGTCTGTTGAAATTTATCATATTTTTCAACTTCATCCCATTTTGGTCAGAGAATTGAGTTTGTATGTGTCTACTTTTTTTGCAGTTTTTGAGACCTTGCTTCCTAGCCTTTCAGAATTTGGGGTATGCACATCCATACACTCAGAATTTTTTTCAAGCTGGAAGAGCCAGAACTTGAACCACGGTTGGCCTATGGGATCTAGGTCCCTATGTACTGGGTTTAAGCATTGTGCTATAGGGCTGCCCCAATCTAAAGCAATCTTAAGAGCCCAATGAGGCAGGCTATCCTCTAGAGATTTGTGTTTGCTCCTGTAGCCAGGAGTCCTACTGACTAGGAGCACATGAGGAGATAAGGGAGCTCCTTTTATAGATACTGACTTCATATAAGAATCTGTCCTTCAATTATCTCAATATGAAGAGGACCCAAAACTTACAAATGTTCTCCAGATTTGTGCTAATATTAACATTTAACATTTGGTCCCAGCATCTTTCCCTGTCTGATTTCAGATTCCTCTAATTTTTCCCTTTTTTCTTTTCTTTTCTCTTCCTTCCTTCCTTCCTTCCTTCCTTCCTTCCTTCCTTCCTTCCTCCCTCCCTCCTTCCCTTCCTTCCTCCCTCCCTCCCTTCCTTCCTTTTATTTTTCCCTCCAGAACTTTTCCCTACTTCTTCCAAGCTTTTAAAGGTATATTATTTAGGGGGCCAGCAGGTGGTGTGGTGGTTAAAACACTGGATTCCCACATGGCTGACCACAGTTCAAGTCCCAGTCCCGTGGCTTGCTTTCTCACTATCACTCTCCCTCTCCCCTCCCCACCTCCTGTTCTCTGGTCAAACTGAAGAATGATACATAGTGTTAAATAAATAATTTTTTAAAAGTATATTATTTGGGCCAGCTGTAAGTGTCGTGGTTAAAGCAGCTGTATCCCACATTGCCCACTGCAGTTTGAGTACCAGACCTAGTGACTTGAAAAACATGCCAGGCTCATATGCATACGTGCTCAAAATCTCAAAATGAGAGGGAAATGGAGAAGTGATTGCAGCTCAACCATCCCCCATGGGAGGGGGAATGCTTACTCACTTTCTCGCCCCCCCTCACACCCCCATGGTGAGCTCATGTGCCTTCTGGCAAATTTTCTTTTAAAGTGTGTTTTGCTGTAATCTAATTATACTATATTTTAAAGTTCAAACAATTTTATATTTTGACCATGGATAGATAATATCCTTAAAAACTAGTTTAGTGATGGTACTATGAATTGAATGTTTGTCCCCTCCTAAACTCAGTTGAAATTTAATCTCATGTAACAGTAATAGGTAAAATCTTTAAAAGGTGACTAGATCATTAGAGCGCCTCCCTAGTTAATGGATTAAGCCCATTATAGTGAGAATAGGCTGGTTATATTTTATAATATTATAATTGGGTGAAGTTCAGCCCAATTCTCTGTCTCTGTATTGTGCATTTGCTTCATCTTCCAACCTCCTGACATGGAATGACCCTAGCCAGATTCTAAGGCCATGGTCATGGATTTCCTAGCTTCCAAAACCATGAGCTAAATAAACTTCTGCTCCTTAGGCATTATCCAGTCTTAGGTATTCTAATGACAGAAAACAGATTAAAACAGACAAAGTTTGTAGCATTATGAATAATATTGAAATGATATCTGAGGTGAAATAATCTGAATAATTGTATGTATTAGTAATGTCTATTAGTTATATTAATTTAAGATGGAGCCTACATCAGAACAACAACAAAACTACTGGAGATGAAGAGAAGCATTACAAAATAATAAAAGAGCCAATTCTGCAACATAACAATAACATTCTTTAATATGTAGTACCTAATAGCATGCAAATACATAAGGCAAAAACTTATCATCAATTTATATTCATCAATAAAGAGAAATAGATCAGGCACGTGTGCGTGCGTGCCCAAGATCCCGAGAGGATAGTGGAGGAGAAGGGATTGCGACGTAACCATCACCTCTAGGGGGTGATTTCTTGCTTTCTGTCTGTCTGTCTCTCACTGTCTTTCTGGCGAGCACATGCACCCTATAGTAAAAACCTTTCCAAAAGAAAGAAAGAAAGAAAAATGTATGACATAGATGTTTACCTAATTATTAAAGAATATGGTAAAGCTCTTCCTCTACGAATATTTACATACATCATAAACACTTTCATATAATTTTACAGGATATGTACATAACATTACATATAATTTCACAAGGCAAATACACCCCCAGTGTATATCTTGGAATCCCCAAGGACACTTCACAGAAACAAGGATACAAACTCCTGATTTAACATTTGAGTTACAGAAGCAATGTGGACAGCTAAAGAATACATACATTACTTTCTCAGCATCTTCAGATTCAACAGAGATCATGACTGTTGGTAAGTCAAAAAGTTTTATTGTTTCTGTCTCTGTGAGTATTATATCTATAGTCTTCTCCAGGTCTTCTTTTGTTATAACTTTTTCAGGTATTGCCCTCATAACTCGTAAATCTGAAATACATGACAATAAAAGTCATTTACTGGCACCAAGGTGGTGCAGTAGTAACACAACTGGACCCATAAAGGGAAGGGCTTAGGTTCATGTCCTGGGATCTTCCTGAGCACACCAGATGCACATATGTTCTCATGATCTGAGCTGGCTAAGATAAGGGGCGGCTTGTAATGTGAAGACCTTGTTTGGGGTACCCATCTCTCTCTCTCTCAGAAGAGACAGACAAATACATTAACAAAAAAAATTTAATAATGATTATTTTTAGCTTTCATTTTTCTTTCTACAGCAAAATATCAAGTGTATGGGGAGGGGGGCACAGTATGAAACTCTACTTTGAATCCAGAAGTTAGTTTCTAGTCTTTATGTACAACAACCTTTTTTACTCTTCATTTGGCCTTCTTACAAGTATTTGTTTGAGTTAAATGGTAATCTTCTTTACTAGGAGCTAGAAAGACTAACAGATGCTCTCGTTGACTATAGGAATAACATATGCTCAATGTCCACACGAATAATACACAAAAGGGGCCAGCAGGTGGTATAGTAGTTAAGGCAATGGACTCCCATGTGGCTGAGTGTGATTTGAGTCGTGGACCCGGCGGCTTGAAACTCACCGTGAGGCATGTGTGCATGCGTGCCTGCCCAAAATCCCGAGAGCAGAATGGAGGAGAAGGGATTACGACATGGCCATCCCTTCTAGGGGATGATTTCTCACTTTCTGTCTCTCTCTGTCTCTCTGGTGAGCACACACGCCCTATAGGGGAAAAAAAAAAAAAAACACAAAAAACAAAAAACAAAAAACCATGGAAAGGACTGGTCATAAACCTTTAGGATAGTCAGAGGTCCAAGACCCTTGGAAAATTTCATTGAGCCTAGGCTTTCAGGATAGAAGAGTTCAGAATTAATTATGTGAGTAATAAAGAGCTATGATGAGGTAAACAGGTCAGAGATGAATGTTTTCTGTAAACAGCAGGGTGTGAATGAGGGATCCATGAGACTTTGTGATGAGTACGACTTGAATAGCTTTAGAAAAACAAGACTTAAGAGCATTACACTTTTCAGAGACTAGGGTAAGCTGTCTTTTATGAAAGCTCATAGCCTGATAAAAATACCTTCCTAAACCATATAAGTTATTAATTCTATAAACCAATCATCAACATTTGGAATGGCTAAAAAATTATGATACATTTATCTACGAATATTAAATAGCAACTGAATGTCATAATAAAAATTACAAAGCCAACAGGTGGCATGGTAGTTAAGGTACTGGATTCCCACCTGGCAGACTGTGGTTTGAATCCAGGACCCAGAGGCTTGAAACACACCCCAGGCATAAATGTGTGTGTGCCCAAAATCCCAGGAGGAGAATGGAAGAGAACGGATTGTGGCATGGCAATCCCCATGGGGATGATTTATTGCTTTCTTTCTGGAGAGTAGACACATCCTACAGCAAAAATCTCTCTCTAAAAAAAAAAAAAAAGAAAAGAAAAACCACACCAGACATGTGTGAATGCATGTCCAAAGGAGAATGGAAAAGAGAATGTGGCATGAACAACATGCGAGGGAGTGATTTCTCACTTTCCCTCTCTCTTTCTCCAGCAAGCACTCACGTCCTATGATAAAACTCTTAAGAACAAAAAATTATAAAAATATATTTGTGAGAAGATATTATGCAGACTGACAAAGTTGGAAAGCAGAAAAACTTTAATTGCTAATCTTTAATATTAAATGATTTTTTTAAATATCACTTAATTTTTTTATTATTTGTACAATAAAATGCAAGAAAATGACTTTTGGTAGGTAAAATATCTTCTCTACTCTTTTTTTTTTTTTTAAAGAGAGATTATTTTGCTATAGGGCTTGTGTTCTCACCAGAGAGACAGAGAGAAAGTGAGAAATCATCCCCAGGGGGATGGCCACACCACAATCCCTTCTCCTCCATTTTCCTCTCAGGATTTGGGGCATGCATGCAAATGTGTCCAGCGAGTTTAAGCCACCGGGTCCAGGACTCGAACCACTGTCAACTATATGAGAGTCCAGCGACATAGCCATTACACCAACTGCTGGTCCCCAATTTTGAGTACACTTTCGAGTAAGATGTAAGATTTATGTCTATGTTTATTTTTTTTCTTTTTGCATTTGGATATACAATTATTCCATCACACTTTGTTAAAAAGATAATTCTCCATTTAGTTGCTTTGTTGCTTTTGTCAAAGATTAGCTGATTACGTCAGTGTGCATCAATTTCTGGGTTCTACATTCTGTTTAACGGAACTAACTCTCTAATGTGTTTCCTTTCTTTGTAGAGCCAAGTTTCCAACCTATATCATTTTTATTATGCCTGAAAAAGTTTTAACGTTTCTTTCAGAGCAAGTCTGCTGGCAATGAATTCCCTCAGAATTTTGTCTGTCTGAGAAAGTCTTTAACTTCTTTGAGTATAGAATTGCAGGATGCCAGATTTTTCTTTCAAAACTTTAAAAATTTTGCTACACTCTCTTCTTGCTTGTATGGTTTCTGATGAGAAGTCCACTGAAATTTATATTCGTATTCCTCTAAAGGTAAGGAATATTTTCCCCTCTGGCTTCCTTCATTTTTTTTCTCCGTCTTTAGTCGTCTGGAGTTTGAGTATATTACTAGTTTTGTTTGTTTTGTGCCGGAGTTCAGCCTCGGCGGGGGTGTCCGGAGTTTTTGCTCTGAATGTAGCTGGCTAAAAACATGCTAAAAAGTATTGATGTTTTAGCCTAATTCTGTTCACCTGCACCGCCTCCAACGAGTCAACCCACCTCCGCCGAGGCTGGACCCAGGCAGTTTTGCTTGGTTTTAATCTTGCTTAGTGTTCTCTGAGTCTCTTGTATCTGTTCTATGGTATCAGTCATTGATTTTGAACCATTCTCAACTAATATTACTATGAATATTTCTTTTACGCCATTCTTTTTTATGGATTTCAATCATGCATGTTATACTTCTTGATATTATGCCACACTTCTTGGATGATTCTGTTTTGTTTTGTTTTTCATTATTTTTCTCTTTGCATTTTAGTTTGGTTAATTTCTATTGACCCATCTTCAAATAAACTTTATTATAATAATTTCCTTACTCCTGTCAACTTATGAGACTATCAAACATATTATTCATTGCGGTGCTGTTTATTTCTAGCATTTCCATTTGATTCTTTCATAATTCTCATCTCTCTGCTGATGTATATCTGTTGTCATACATCTTGTACACTGTACACTTTTTCATTAGAGCTCTCAACATATTGATGATAATTATTTTAAGTTCCCTGTCCCCTAATGTCAAAGCATATATCATAACTGGGTCTGATGCTTGTTTGACCACATCAGTATAATTTTGTTCTTGCCTTTTAGCATTCTTCTTGTTGAAAGTCATACATGTTCTATCAGGTAACTAGTGCTGAGGTAATTAGGCCTTTAATGTAAGCATATATGGTAATCAGGCAAGGATTTGGGTTCCTCTGGATGCTTTGTTTGTTTGTTTCCTCTCTTGCCTTTCAGGCTTCTCTTGGTACTACTCCTTAGAGAAAGCCTGTATCTTGCAACTTTTTTAGCTGTAATACATTATTCTGGAGGCTTATTGGTGGTAAAATATGAGGAAGTATTTTATAATCTGATTCTCATTAGTCTCTGGATTTGTGTCTTGGAGGGGTGGTGTTCACATGCATTTCTGTCCCTTCTTTGGGGGTGTGGCTTTCTTATCCATGTCCCCTCCTCCCTTCCCTGGCAGCCTACCCAATCTAATTCCTTGAAGAGCTATCCACCGTTTTGTGTGGAAGGAGGAAGGCTCGTGCTAGTGTAGAATTCTCTGAGAAATAATTTCAGAATTATTCTGTGACACATTTCTCCTCCTAATCCTTTCTTTGCTTAAACAAAGAAAAAAAGAGGCTGTGGGTATGTCACAGCGGCCAGTCTTTCCCTTCCCTAGCCAGAGTCACTAGCTTATTTTTCTCAGACCCCCATTCAGAGAATCTGGTAGATTCTTGGAATAAGAGTCCATTTAAGTGTGGGACCCCTTTTTCCATGACCATGCATCCTCAGGAATGCACTCAGCCTCAGTAATTCATAAAAATAATCATTTATGTGTTCCCTCAACTTACAGTAAGCAAATCTAGAGAACTATATTTCTCCACATTGCCTGTTTCCCCAGATTTCAGGGCAGTAGTCTGCCCTGTTATCTCAATTCTCTGCTAAGTCCAAGAAAAGTTCATTTTCAATTTGTCCAACTTTTTCTTATTATAAGACAAAAATAATGATTTCTAAACTCTACATGTTGGAGCTGAAACCACCTCAGAGATTTTTATTCAGTTTTTCTGGGTAAGGGTTGAGAATTTTTATTTATAAGAAATTCCCAGGTGATGCTGATGCCACTGGTCTGGGAACCATACCTTGAGAACCACCTCTGTAAAGAATAGTTCCTCAATTTTATTGCGTGAGCGCGTGTGTGTGTTTATATGTTTGTGTTTAACTGCCAGAGGGCGTATGTGCTTACCAGAGAGAGACAGAGAAACAGAAAGAGAAAGGAGAAAGCAACTCTGCAATGGGGCGTGGACACAGCACAATCCTTTTGCCGGCATTTCTGTATTCTGTTGATGTTTGGGGTGGGCACATAGTTGGCATGTTTTTCAAGCAGTTGGCCACGTGGGCTCCAGGTCCCTTATCCAATGGGCTATGGAGCTGGGCTAACATTTTTTGTTACTTGGAAATGTGCTAAAATGTTTGATGATCAGGCGTCACCTCATAATAATTAAGTTGGAATTCTGGGCATGAGACCTAGGATTCAATACTTTTCGATACTAATTTAGAAAAGTGCCACACATTTGAATCATTTGAGAAAAATTTAAATATATTTATATTCAGAAGTATATTAGAGCAGACTCGCATCAGGTTATAAGAACAAACTGTTAAATTTTGGGAAGCTTTATGAGCTAATTGTTATCCAAAATTAAATTATATAAACTTATCATTAAGTAAATCATATTAAAAACAAAGATAATAATACTTGAGACTCATCTTCTAATTATGTTATTAAATTTTACTATTATCTAAGTTCTTGTAGTTATTTTTTCTATTACATCTGTACAGTGAAAATACCATATAATAGTGTGCTACTAAAAATTTTTTTCCCAATTTTCCATTCAGAAATTTCATGTTGGAAACTTTAAATCTGCTGTGGTGAGTATTTATAGCATAGCAATTGGTAAATGCTACAAATCAAGGTGTCCCTTGTCCCAGTGCAGGCAGTATAACACTTAACAGCACACTACTGACTGTGCCTAGACCCCGCTCCCAGATTATCCCAATTCACTTGGCTTGAGTTGAGACTGAACTATGGAAATTTTTAAAAGGCATGTCAGTTGATCTTAATGTGCATGTAAGAGTGAGAAACACTGTTCTACACTAAGAGAGAAGTCAGGTGGGAAGACCAGAATTGTCTAGGTATGATTCATTTCAGAGACTGACTTTGCAGTTAGAAATCACCAGCATCTGGCCAAGATGATATAAACATCCATATTATTCAAGATTTCTGTTGGCTAATTTTTTTTTTTTTTTAGATAAGCAAAGGAAAACTTCAAGACAAATAATAAGCAATGAAAATCCATTGAAAAGGCCAGTAGGTGGTGTGGTGGTGAAGGAACTCCTACATGGCTGACCATTGTTTGCTTTTCTATTGGCTTGCTCTCTCTCTCTCTGTTTCTCTCTGGTCAAATTGAATAATAATAATAATTAATAAAATTAAATAAATAGTTCCTTTAAAAAAAGAATATCCATTGAAACATATTTAAGCAAAAGAGGATGTTATTAAATTGTGGTTTTAAAAAGATCATTCTGGGGGCTGGCAGGTGGTGTGGAGGGTAAGGGTGGTGGACTCCCACATGTTCAACCATGGTTTGAGTCCTGGACCTGGCAGCTTGTGTTCTCAACACCCCCCACCACCACCACTACCTCTCTCGCTTACTCTGTCCCCTTCTGGTCAAATTAAAAATAAATAAGTAAATAAATAAAGTTAAATAATTTTTTTAAAAAGTTCATTCTGGACACAGTTTAGAAAAATAGATTGCAAGGTAGAAAGAATAAATGTACACAAAGCTAGGGGAAGTTATGACAGGGAAGTTATGACAAGAATCCAACCCTCCCTGGCTCCTTCTGAAAGAATGTGGTTTGTTTCCTATAGCACACATTGCTGATTAGCTCCTTCTCCAAACCCTCACCTCTTTCTACTAATAGAGGCTGAGAAATCAAGTACAGTTATGTACCGTATAAAAATGGGACTACAGGCTGGCTCATGGACTTGGGGTTAAGGTGGCTGGATCACATATGGCCGACTGTGCAGTTTGAGTTTCAGACCCAGTAGCTTGAAAACTATGCTTAGGGGAACCAGCAGTTAGCGTAATGGCTATGTCACTGGATTCCCATGTAGTCCACCGCAGTTCGCATCCCGGACCCGGTGGCTTAGAACTCACGCCGGGTGCGTGTGCATGCGTGCCCAAGATCCCAAGAGGAGAATGGAGGAGAAGGGATTGCGGCGTGACCATCTCCCCTGGGGGGTGATTTCTTGCTTTCTGTCTCTATGTCTCTCTCTGTCTGTCTGGCGAGTGCATGCGCCCTATAGCAAACCCCCACCCCCCCCCAAAAAAAAGAAAGAAAACTATGCTTAGTAGTATTTTCTTGCTTTTCTTCTCCCTTTCTGTCTCTGACAAGTTAAAAAAATAATAAATACAGAAGAGACACATTCTGAGAAATACATCATTAGACGATTTCATAGAGTATACTTACCCAAACCTCAGTGGTATAGCCTCCGACACACTGAGGTTGTGTTACAGCCTATTGCTCCTATGCTATAAACCTGTAGGGCATGTTACTGTAGTCAGTGCTGTAGGTTAACTTTAACACAACGGTAAATATTTATGTATCTAAATATATCTGAACATGGATAAAATGTCCAGAGCTAAGGAAGATATTTTGAGACCAAAAGGGAAGAAGGAAGAAGAGAAGGTTTGGAAAGATAATAGTGAAGCTGCCAATCCAGAGTCTGACATAACTGAGCCACAAAACCAAAGCCAAAGCTATCTCTTTATTATTATTATTTTAATTTGTCAGAGGGCATGTGCTCTTACTAGAGAAAGAAAGATAGGGAGAGGGAGAAAGCTTGGTCATGCTACAACCCCCTTTCCTCTATTTTGCTCTCCTTTAGGGATCTTGGGCATGCATATACAGATGACCAGTATGTTTTCAATCTGGAACTATGCGGTTGGTCACGTGGGATTCATGTCCCTTAGCCACCAGGTCATGGACTAGCCTTCTCTTACTCACTTTTAATGT